TTAATATAAAAAATAATAATATAAATTATTTAATACAATGGAAGAATAATTAATTTAACTATATTAACATGATCTGAATTTATTTCTTCATTATCGTGTTATCTTCAAATCATTTACTTACATTAAAATTTCATTATTTGAAAACAACCATGTTTTGTATTCAGGTAGTTTTACCACTGAAATCTTTAAATAACTTTGTTTAATATTAGAAAATTTCTTATATTCTTTGTATCAATAATGCTTAATAATAATTATATATATTACATAACATTATAAAGAACACATACAATAGTGAAAATACTTTTAATATCAAATTATATATTATAAATATGTAATTTAATAGTATTGTGATATATGGTAGAATTAATTAAATTTGAATTTCAAATTTTAATAAAAAATTTTGTTATGTATACACGTATATAAAATTATATGTAGAAGATATGTAATACTTATAAAAGGACAATTTTGCAGGGATTATGTAATATTCATGTAAAGTAAAGAAAGCCTTATATATTGGAATTTCCTTATTTATTTGCAAGCATTTGAAGAAACCATGTTTGATGGACATACTTTTCACAACTTGTGAAGAACAACTATTGAATATAAAGGTATTAAAGAGCTAATTTGTATGAATACAAAGTAATAAAATAGATGTACACTAATATAAATAATTTTTAGGAATACATTTAATATTTTTTTTGTCTTCTAAATAAATGTAAATAGGTCTAAATATATTTCAATATGTGCATGTATAAATTTATAGATGTTTACACTTATGTAAGATACCAAGCATTTAAAATTTTAAGTAACCACAATATATTCTATTTGAATACCAGATTAAAGTTTAATAAAAACGTTTTTTAATTTTTCAAATAAAAATATTTAACACTATTAAAAGTGTTCTTTGCACACAATATCAAATTTTGTAGAGTTATAAATGTATTATAAAATTAAGAAATAGTTACAAATACAATTAGCTAAATTAGTAGTTGCTTAACAGAAATCATCTGTTCATTTTTATCATAATTTATAAATATAGCAAACTTTTATCTATTAATATATTTTGTTTGCTTCACTTTCTGATGTAACAGGAGATCCTACAACAAGATTTGGGTCAGGAACCAGTTATATTTTTGAAAGATCTAAACTTTGAAATCTTGAAGGCCATGGTTGAATTCATGTATTGCGGAGAAACCACTATTCCTTATCAATTATTATCACCTTTATTAACTGCCACAAAAAGATTTAAGGTTGGTATTCTTAATATTAACAGAAGTTATTTTAAATATAGATTATCATATTTAAAAATATAAAATTATAATAGATAAAAGAAAAGTATGAGAAATTTAGCAATTATATGATGAGTTTATATTATACAAAGAATAACTTTTTATTTTTTACTTCTTAAAGTGATAAAATATATTATAATATATTCTAAAATATATATTAT